TCGCGGGTCACGCGTGTGTGTCAGCCGCTCCAACAACGTCACGGGTCACGCGTGATCACGCGACACGCACGTGTGTCAGCCGCTCCTACACGTCACGGGTCACGCGTGTGTGTCAGCCGCTCCAACAACGTCACGGGTCACGCGTGATCACGCGACACGCACGTGTGTCAGCCGCTCCTACACGTCACGGGTCACGCGTGTGTGTCAGCCGCTCCTACACGTCACGGCTCACGCGTGATCACGCGATTGGCCGCGCTCACTCACCGGTGCTCGTGTCCACGGAGAGATCTAGCAGTGGGCGCCGCTCCCCCTCCCCCTCCACCTCCTCGTGTAGCGGAGGCTGCGGCGCGGGGTGAGGCGCACCAGCGGAGTAGGGTGCTGCATTCATGCGGAATGACATCGGCAGCCGGTAGGCAGACTGCTGGGCGGGGGTGTCCGACCAGGGGCCCGTGCGACGCTGCCCGCCATCCAGACTCTCTGTACGCAGACGATAAACACGACGTGGTGACGTCGTTCTGACGACAGAGTGATGACAGGATGATGACGTAATGATGACGATGACGACATGATATAGCGACAAAGTGATGACGTAATTTCAACACGGTGACGACATGATATGCTCACGGATACAACTGCTATGAAGAATACTTAACACAAGGGCACAACCTGCGCCTCTATATATATTATGCGAATGATGAAATAATGCTCAAAGTATACGAGGGGAACAAACATCTTGCCTGTCCTGCTGCTATGAGAATTCCATACCTAATAGCCGGCGTGGACTCTTCCGTAGTTCCGCGTTCTCCCGTTGGAGGCAGTGCATGTGGTCGAACCGTCCCTCGCTGGAATGGCGGCGGCGAGTGGCCCTGTCATCGCATGACATCAGCTTGATATCGGGAAAGCCTGCAGCCAATGAGGAAATAATGTCACCTATACGGAGATGTGTTATGTAACACGCCCGCCGCGTCACGTCTTCTGCGTCACGTCTGCTACGTCACGCCCGCCGCGTCACGTCTGCAACGTCACGCCCGCCGCGTCACGTCTGCTACGTCACGCCCGCCGCGTCACGTCTGCAACGTCACGCCCGCCGCGTCACGTCTGCTACGTCACGCCCGCCGCGTCACGTCTGCAACGTCACGCCCGCCGCGTCACGTCTGCTACGTCACGCCCGCCGCGTCACGTCTGCAACGTCACGCCCGCCGCGTCACGTCTG